ACATAAAACCTTAAATTAAAACATTACTAAAAAGAAGAAGGAGAGACCAAGAGGATGAAAACCTGAGGTTGAAGGCAGAGGCGTCTATTTAGTTAATGTATGAGAGAGAAGAGGAAAAAGTTAGAAGGACATGGAAAAAGGACATTCCTCATTGCATCAAAAAGTGATATATTTTTATTACCAGTATTTCCCAATCATCTGCTGAAATTGGTTCCACTTCTACTTGCTGACAGGACAAAACTTGAGAACAAGGTTCCAGGAATATCTGGTAGAGAAGAAATCTCATTACAATACTTTCAATATTTACATAATCAGAATACTGAAAATTATTATTTTCTAAGTGAGAAAAGAAAATATGACATAAGAATCACATGGTTGCTGATCTGTACTGGCAACATACATTTTGACCATTCTGTTAGTGTTATTTGCTCCCTCTGGAAACCTAAAAGCTATTTTAGGCATCTTCAAATAAATGAACAGTATTTTATTCAGTTCTAGACAGTAACAAAAACAGCTTGAGAAAAAGGTTAGTATGTGCAAACTTTTATTTGTTCACCCACTGAATTCTAAGCAATAATATTTTAATACAGGTAGTCCTCGCTTAATGACCATTAATTTAGTAACCACGGGAAGTTATGACGGTGCTGAATGAAGGGACTTGCGACCCATACCTGAAATTAGGGCGATCTGGGCCCTTGGCAATCAGTTCGCCCCTACAACTGGTTGCCAAGCACCCTGCAATCATGTGATCACTATTTACAATCTTCCCTGCCAGCTTTCCCATAAGTCAGTGGAGAAACCGGCAGGGAAGGTCGTGTGCCACTGCTGAGAGGACTCCCTCTTATCTCTGGGGGTTGGCTGAAAAAGCTCCGTGCCAAAATCCAAGCAGGATTTTGGCATGGGGCGTTTTCAGCCAGCCCCCAAAGTTCCATGCACTAAACACCCCATGCCTAAATCCTGCTGAGATTTTGGCATGAAGCTTTTTCAACCAGCCCCAAAGCTCCATGTGCTAAATGCCCACACATGGGGCATTTAGCACACGAAGCTTTGGGCACTGCCTGGAAAAGCTTCATGCTGAAATCCGAGCAAGATTTTCAGCCACAAAGGATGTTCAGCCCCAGAGTGCCACATGGGGCATTTAGCACACAGAGCTTTGGGCACTACTTGAAAAAGCTTTATGCTGAAATCCAAGCAGGATTTTCAGCCCCACAGTGGAGAAGCCTCTCCATTCTGGGGCTGGAAATCCTCCGTGGCTGAAAATCCTGCTTGGATTTCAGCCTCTCCACTCTGGGGCTGAAAATCCTCCATGGCTGAAAATGTGCGCTAAACGCCCTGTCCGAAATCCAAGCAGGATTTTAGCCACGGGGGATTTTCAGCCCAGAGTGGAGAGGCTTCAGAAGTAAAACTTGTAGATAATTTGATAATTCAATAAGAAGCGAGATTTTGAAACCAGCAACTATGATACCTATCATATACATTAACTTCATATGCTACTCTAATATGAACTCCTTTTGAATCCTACTCTATCAACTCCTTTGATAACATATTTTGATCAGGATAATTATTATGGTTTGGCTAAAATGAAATCTTTGAGAGCATATAATCTTTATAGACGAAAACATTTTTAAAGTAACGGTGAACCTCTCTAAAGATCAGATAGAGCAACAAATAACTGATAAGCTACCATGGCTTTTTTGATATCAACTCAAATCTCTTTTGGGCAATAGAAATATTAGAGCTTCAGCAATATAGCCTTATACTAATTTTGAGAATGTAATACTTCATTATTTAGAATAACCAAAAGGAACAATCTCAAAAATTTATAGGTTATTACTGCAATCAAAAATAGGATATCCACCATATGGATTAAAGGAAGCTTGTGATAGTGATCTTGGTAATCCCATACAGGGGACAAACTGGCAGCAGTTATGGAAATCAGGTAGATTCACTTCAGCTTCAATGCAAGAATTGAAGTGGAAGATTATAAATAATTGGCATTGAACTCCTGTTAGATTGGCACATATATATCAAAATTATTCTTCCAAATGTTGGCGAGGTTGCAAAAAAAAGTGGTCATTTTTTAATTTGGTGGTCATGTGATAAAGTTAGACCCTTCTGGCAAAAATTTTTGGAGAGATAAGTATTATCACTAAACAAAGAATTGAATGCTTTCCAGAGTTAGGCTTATTGAATATTTACAGGACCAAACCATAAGCTTAAAAATAAAGAATTGATTATCTATTTAATTTTAGCAGCCAAAATAATAATTGTGCAACAATGGAAAACTCCAGATAATATAACAACTGAGTTGTGGATTAGTATGGTTTCCTCAATTGCCACATTACAGAAAAATCACAGATAATGTAATGAGACTTCAGAAGCAGGAATTATATTTTTATCAAATTTGGTTGGATTTTAATGGTTTACTTTAATAGCAATAAATTATAATTTGTTGTACTCTTTATATATGATAAATTTTCACATGAATAGTACCCACCTCTTTGTACAACTCCACATTGTAGTTGGTCTTTTTTGTATTTTCTACATTTTTTTCTTTATATGTATGTTGAATTTATGTTAGTTACTTGATATTGCTTGAAATAAAATTAAATTAAAAATCTAAAAAAAGTATACAAATAGAAGACTGCATATCAAACCTGTTGTCCATCTTTAATGCCAAGCTTTTCTGCTAATTGTCTGTTTATTTCAACAATGTTTTCTTCTGTTTGACGATAATGTCTAATTTCCATCCAACCCAAGAATACAGGCTGATTCCCCCAAGAAGCTTTCACAACTTGATCCTATGAATTTCATAAAAAACACATTTATATTAAACAAACATTAAAAGGGGATATTTCATGTAAATAGACAAATATCCACATATAGACCAGAAAAAAAGCCTACTTCTCAAAGTTAGTTATTATGCTTTAAGAAACTGTTGATACTTATTTTATAGAAGAGAATATATTTAGCTCAAGGTTGAACTGTGGAGTCCTTGGTGCTCTCTGAGCTTGGTTGTTTGCTTGCAGACGTTTCATTACTCAACTAGATAACCTCATCAATGCTAGTGAGTGTAGGATTTGCTCCCTGTTTATATACAGTAACTTGCTCTGCCAGTGTTGATGGGGGTTGCAGTTTTCTCCTTAGTAGTTGTAGGTAGAAGCCTACAAGCCGAATAAAAGCAGTTTTGTCCAAATCCTTAGCATTCAAAAACTTTCCAAAAAAACAACAGTATAGTTCCCCTTTTGTCATATATTGCAAAAAATAAAGATCTTACAAAGCTGGAAACACATAATTTTCTTTCTTTTTAAAGAAGAGACACTCACTCAGTGAATACCCAACTTGCAGTTCCGAAGGTTTTTTAATCTTAAAGAAGCAGTAAGAAAAAAGTTAATCTCCAAGGTGATTAAAAAGATGAGGTTTAGATGAACCTAGTCCTTAACAGGCTACATCAACAGCTCAGAGCATGGTGAAACATGCAACTCCCAGCTGACTGAAAGCAGCTGTAAAAACAAGGGTTTCTGCTTCTGACTCACAAAAACAAAACAAAAAACCAGCTGTCCAGAATGCATGAGAGTAATCTCAAGATCTCTCTTTTATACAGACAGAATTTTCAGCAGTCTGCATCCACATCCAACTGCCTTTCGGCCACAATGTCTCCTGCAGAGAGCGGGGTGTCACTTCGCTAGCCTCACCGGAAATGTGAATCCCATGTGTTGTGAAATTAAGGAGTTTTCATCATGTCTTCTGACTGCTAGGTGGTGTTCATGGATGTGCTCTGCTAGTCTTCTGTCTGTCCTACATAGTGGCTGTTATAGTCCTTACACTGTATGTTGTAGATGACACTTGTCTCTCCTTCTTGGGCTCCTGGGTCTTTTGGTTCACTGAAGATGCTTTGGAGGGCTTTAGTTACTAATGTGCCTACTTAAACAGGATGACAGAAATCCAATGAAAAAGATTGGCTTAAGCAAAAAATGAAGATAATATACGTCAAATTTCAAAACATAAAAACACATTGGTAATATAATAGGGAACCCAGAATGCAGCTCTAAAAGTTTCTGACTGAATGTCTTCCAGCTGTCTGAAATTTTTATATTGTAAATACAGATTTTGGATCCACACAGCATTTGGCTGAAATTCACCCAGCACGTTGCTCTAGAAACTTAGCTAGCAATCAGGAAACTATCAGCAGGAGAGCCAAGGATGAGGCTAACATAAGACACATTGCTTTTATTGCAGCTGCAAGAAGCTCAAATAATTAAGATGTAGAAAATTATTATTATTATTATTATTATTTTATCCCACCTTTTTAACATATAACTCAAGGTGGAAAACATACCTAAAACACCTCCCTCCTCCTCCTTTCCTCACAACAACACTGTGGGAATGGACTGGGCTGAGTGACTGGCCCAAAGTCACCAATCAATCAATCAAGCGACTAAGCCCTCTATTTATAATATACCCAGGGTTTGAATTTTACATATTTTTTTCCTGCTCTTTTTCAGCCCTGGATATGGAGGACACCTGTACATTTTTCAGCCTTGGAAGCAGAAGCAGCTACATCATCTTTTGTTAACAGTTCTGTCTGGTTTCAAGCTCCTTAATTTTGGCTTTAGCTTTTAATTTAGCTTTTTAGCTTCAGCCTTCAGAAGACCAGCTCCAATCCTCAGGGACCTGAAAGGAGCAGCCTTTTGGAAGGCCCGAAAGACCCGACTCTTTCCACAAGCATTCGGCTAGGATGGGGTTGAGTCAGGGGGTCAATAGTATGGGTGGCCTGGAGTTTGTTAATTTCAGTTTTAGTTCTTTGTTTCAAGAAAAGTTACAAAGTGAATACAGAACACAGCTCCCCATGATAATTGTTACACTGCACTAAGATACCATCCCATTAATATTACACTTTTTCCCCCCTTAAAATTATGACTAGTTTTTAATAGCATTTGCCACAATGAGAAAAAGAATTGACAGGCATTAGGGGGAAAAAATAAAGTATGCTATATCAGATTTAAAACTCCTATTCCTTTACTAGCTGTAGAAAGCTGAAAAATAATTTCAGATTACTCTCAGCACTGCAGCGCTTGAAAAATATAGCAAAGAAGCACCACTTCCCACTTCATGAAATTTTGATTGGTGGGGTCTAGGCAGAGAGCCTTTTCTGCTGCAGCGCCCGCCCTATGGAACATCCTGCCTCCTGAGATGCGGTG